ACCAGGAACAAGGGACGAGGGACCAACGGCCCAGGTCCTCAGCCCATCTTTATTCTGGTTTTTTTTAGTCGTCGGCATCTTTTACTTTTCGCTGGCGCTTCCGTCGCTGCAGCCAAAGATGCAAATGGGAATATATGCACTGAAAATAAATAGTTATACTTGAGAAATATTACCATAAAAAGGGGTAGGTGCTTATAGTATTTCCTTATACTCAAATTTTACAAAACTCCAACTGAATTTTCAAGATATTTAAAGAGAAAAGTATGTTTTTTTTCACTGTCCATATCATGAGGGAATGGGATTTGTGCAGAGGTCTGTTCGAAAGTCTTTTGACAATATTTGCGCGCCCCTGACAATAAAACGTAAAGTGAAGTCTGAGGATGCAATCCACCGCGCTCCCCCTTATCTGGCTTCCAACGTAGTATTCCTGTGCGTCTGTGTGGCGGGTCATTTAAATTTCATGCTAAATCAAAAATTCTTGTGTTTATTATTTGTTTTGTGTGCGGTACTGAGCCCTCTTCCTGTTTGTCTTGGCGTTCTAGTTCATTTCGTTTGCAGCCAAGGAGCGGCGCTTGTGTGTGAGTTGTCTTTTCCTTTTGTTAGCCACATAGGCGCCCTATCCCCCACTCCTATGCCAGCTCTCCAGCTTCCCCTTCCCCTATCCCATACACATGCCCTTCAATCGAATGCCGGCGGCATCCTTTGTGGCCTCCACAGGATGTCGATTACATTTGTTTACTGCACTCGGGCACTATAATTTCCCCCCTTGGTCCGCTTGGGTCTCTTTAATGAACAGGTGCCCCATGCCATTGCTGGTTGCTGCTTGTATTGTTGTTGTTGTTGGAGATTCTCCTCCTCGTCAGAAAAGCCTGCCTTTGGGTTCTGTGACATCGGAGACAAACATGGCCATCGCCTACTCCATCGCCGCACAAATGGCATTTAATCGCAAAAGCGCATCACCAGATTTACGCTCCAGACAAGATCAGAGCGTCAACTTAGCATTCAGCAGGCCACCAATCAGTTGAAATGGGAAATCCACTCCAGATAGTCAGCCAGTTTTTTCCTTTTTGAGCTTTGAGTTTTCTCGAGTGGGAGCTCTGGTGGCTCTCGATGGATATTGAGTGCCAAGTTTTAGGCCATAAGCGAACGGATTTGGCCTGATTTTGAGATGATGGGCTTATGGCAGGGGAAGGAGAATTTTTAAGGTTACTTCTACATAACTGATAATTAAAATTCCCTCCCTAACTAAACCTATTTCAGGCTTAAGATGCTACAAAAAAAAGAGTCCCAGCACTAAGCCCACTACAAATACGCAGACTTAGTCAACAATGTTGCTTATGTGGGATTACCTCGGTTAAGAGCCAAGACCTGAACTCTGTGGACCATTCCTGGTCGTAAGATAAATAAGCGATAACATTTTAATGACGAAGTCTGATGGTGCCCCGAGTCGTGGGTGCTCTGTAGCCCGAGGGGGGAAGAGGGATCAAAACATTACTCAATCAGCAGGCCATAAATGCAAGCTGATTAATGCAGTCGACGACAAGTGCAACATTTCCGGTGACAATGACATGAAGTTGGCTACACAGAGGAGTTTCAAGAACCCAATAATCTTGCTAAACTCCTCCTAATTTATTGATTTTTATATATTTTTCCAAGTGCATGGAAGTGCATGTTAGGACGTCATGCAGTCTGCGGATCTTGGAGTCTCATTTAGGGGGCCTACGACAATGACAAGTGTCAAAACGCAGGTTGTGCTCATTTAAATTGGCATGATTTACGTTCGCCTCCGACTTGGGGATACCGGGATGTACATACTAACTGGGACTTGGACTTGGACGTTTCCATGGCCTGGCAAATTCCAGGAGCTGGCAACAATCCGCCGCAGAAAGGAAATGACAAAAAGGCAGGGCGGCTGGGGGACAAGTTGCTGACAGGGCCCATGGGGTTGGGGCCGAGCTGGAGTCCCGAGTGGGAACGGATAGCCAATGGACCGATGCTGACACATAAGTAGCATCCGAATCGGGGCCCAGGGTCGCTCCATGTTGGCCGTGTTCGTCTCCACTTCGTTTTCCATTTGGCGTGCATGCAAAGTGTTGAATAATTTGTTGCGAAATATTTCTAGATGCCAACAATGGTGGGGGTTTCGCGCCACCCCACAAGTTTGTCAAATAGAAAATCAGTTTTTTTTGGAGAATTTCGAAAATAAACTGAACGATTTATTAGGCTTAACTTTTGTTCTTAATTAAGACTTTTTCAGGATGTTGGTCTTAAATTTCAAGCCAAGGCAACAGCAACAACCTTTATCTATCCAATTTTGTCGGGTGCCCCGCGGCTTTTGCTCCCTGGTGCTCCCTGGCATGTTGGTGCAACTGCTACAACAGCAACAGGCATTGAAATTGCAACTGCAACACCAACAGCAACATCAGCAGCAACAGCATCAGCGACGAAGACTGCGTTGCTGCGTAATTAAGTGGGCGACAGTCTGGTAAATGCAAATTTCTTGGCCTTGTCGCGCTCCTCCCCGCAGGACATGCCCGATAGCCAATGGAAAATGCAGAGATGCAGATGCAGTTGCAGTTGCTGATGCATTTACAGTGGCAATGGCAGTGCCAGTGGTAGTGACTGTGGCAGATGCAGATTCAGATGCTGGCGACCGATAGGGGCGATAAGCTGGTGCAATGTCGTGTTGTTCCCGCTTGTTTGGGGACGGCGATAAGCTATGATCCTATGATCCATGATCCTGACCTTGGCTGGCGGCTTAGAATGCGCATACGCAATGTAGCACATTCTTAATTAAAATGTCAAAACTGGTTTAATGGCGTTAATGAACGAGCAGATCGCGCGGTTCGTTAGTAAGGTTGCTAACAAGTTGGCTAAGTTTGATTTCTTGGCCAAGAGGCTTCTCCTTGCTCGATAGGGAGGAATCGTTGAAATTCCTTTGGCTCAAAGTTCGTTGTTTTGCGGTTTTCTTAACGTCTTTTGATCTGAAATGCGATCTGGGCTTTGATTTATCGCCAAGTTTTCTGCGTTTTCGAATAAAAGCTGCCGCCGCCATTGCCGGAAAATGGAAAGTTTTTCCCCATTGCCTTGACAGTTTGCGTAGCGGCGGTTGATTTATAGAAATCAAAGCAACGGCTTTGCTCTCCATTGTTGGCATTTTGCTTATCGAGTCTGGCCAACTATTCAGAGCTATTGTAAACATGGTTAGCTTATGCAAAAATGTTCAATGGCTGTGGGCTTAGAGTTTTGATTAATTGTTCAATTCCTGTTGGCTTGCATAACTTATGTTTGTGGTAAGTCGCAGCATTTTATGAATTTTATTAAATCACCTTCAATGAGGAATAATTAGTGGCTTTGCAATTATGATAATGCATTCTATATGAAACCTTTTATTGGTTTAAAATGTTCACTCAACTGCAAAAGTCCTATGCCAGAGCCCCTCCTTCATCCTCCATCATATTTCAAAAAATGCAGCTGGCGCCGCTGCACCACCCAACCACTGAGCCAACGAACACACCACGCGACTCTTGGGGGATCCCTTGTCTGCAAAGTTGTGTGATTTATTTGGGCGGCTTGGGCGCTTGCGAGTGTGTTGCTGTTTTTCGCTCTTTGTGCGCTGCGCTTTTTATTACGGCACAATTTTTATTATTTTTATTGGCGCGCACTCGAGTGAATTTCGTGGCACAAAGTGGGGAACTGAAGTGGGGCAGTTGCATGCCCCATGACGCACCACAAGCACCCACCCGCCACCATCACGGGGACGGGGTCTGTAAACACTCTGGCTCTGGCTCTGTCTCTGGCTATGGGTCTGGATAGGCATATCCAGTGCAAGTATATATGCATTTATTATTTTACTCGGCTTGCTTGCATTTTGCAGCAACGATCTGTAGACACAATAAATTACCAATTATATTTTCATTTCATATTTCTGTCATTGATTTCGCTGCCAGGCCGCCAGCCTGCCAACCAGACTGAGACTCAGACTCAGGCTGTGTGTTCCTCAATGAAATCAAAAAGCCAGCATGCTGGGCCCTCCCAACAGATCTGGCTGAAATTCATATGCGATGTAAGAGACAATTTGTTTTATCAATCAACTGAATTGTATTGAAAATAAATCGAAATTGTATCCTTTTTCCATACGAGTTTAATGAAATTGCGACACTACGCAGGGGGCTGACTCAAGTAAGACAAATAGTGGAATTAACTATTTGAATTGTATATTTTTTTAGGCAGGCCTCTTGCCGTTTTAAAGGAACTGACTTTAATGCGAGCTAGCAGTCGGAAAAGTGGAATCCTTAACACCGAAATCCCTTTGTTAGACTGTTTTTATTTTGGTCTGGTGCCGGGACGGACTGTATTTATTTCCTTTGTCGCTCCACAAAGCCGGGGCATCTGGCTTTCTGCAAAGCCTGCTCTTTGGGGGGGGAAAATGAAAATCAAAAGTCGCCGTTAAAGTGTCTAGGAAATTGTGCATGCATTAAATAAATGAAACACCCGCCACCCGAAGACTAAAAAAGTGACCAAGGGTCGGACGAAGGGATAACCCCAGTCATTCCATGTTCAAATTAAAATGGGAACAGCAACCGATGGCTGGGGATTGGATGGAATAAAAAAATCAACTGGGAGGCAGTCTGGGGTAACTTAAAAAAAAAAGAAATATTAAACGTTTCCACTGCTTTGAGTTTTTTATGAGTTTTTTTTTAGGAAAATACAAGTAATTTGAAAAGTATTGTATAACATAGAAAACTTTCATTTAAGGGCTGTATTTTCTTAGATCCAAATAAAGCAATTATCATACAGACGGCCTTTAACCTTTTGCCAGGCATTAACATTTATTTTAATTGCTCTGCCCAATTATAAAGTTTGGCCAAAAAAGTCCACAGTTCAAACTAGTCAAAAACTATGGAAAATGAAGAAGGCAAAGGTATGTAATTCAATCCTGGCAGTTCCGGGCCCAGGCTATTCCTGATCCCTTCCAGAGTTCTGTGGGCTTGGCAAGGTGGTCTAATTAAACTCTCCAATTATCATGGTTCACGTAAATTTGGTTTTCCCAACCTACCTCCCAGCATTTATTTTTTTTGTGAATATTTTTCCATAATTTTCTGTTCTTGTTTGTCTGCCATTTGTCCTGGCGGCCAAATTGCGAATTGAAAACTTCGAAAACTAACGGCAATTAAAGTATTTTCCCCTGAGAAGAAAACTCGATGCAAAATCAGGACCAAAACTTGGACTATTTGGCTGACTGTGCGTGTAATTATAATTTTCTTTAAGTCGGTTTGCACAAACTTTTCTTTATGTCAAAGTTTTGCCCCTCTCGCTTGTTCGTTCTCTCTCTCTCTTTCTATCTATAGCAACCACAAATAATTTTGTGGAAAAGTTCCCCTTTTCCCGGAGACTTTCCCCCTTTTTCAACTGGCTTCCTCGCCCAATTTTGCTGATTTTTTTCCATGTTGTTGGTAATTATGCTCTTTGTGAGACGCAAGGAAACTTTTGGGTACGTCGTCTGAGTGTATTAGTTGTAATGTGCTTCGGTTAGCCCAAGGAAGCGAACAAGTTGCCAAACTTATGACAACAATAACAACAGAGAACATGCCAAGGATATGCCCCATCCCGTCACAGGAGACGTTTGTACTTATTTTTGGTAGCTCACCTTTCGGTCTCTTTGGCTAGACAATGTGTCTTATTAGTGGAGCTTGCCAAAGGCAAACTTTCCAATGAGTTTCCATTCATTACAGGCATCTTCCACAAATTTTCAGCTAATCATGTTGATGATGAATGGAATTGTGGCTCAAGAGTCCTCGGAGGTCCTCCAAGTCCTTTAAATTATGTGCGCCGCTTTATTGATATCTAACTCATGGAAAAAGCAACAAAGGAAAATCAGCCATGTGGCGGGGAATACTTGAGAAGTCATTTAAGTAGTTTATTTTTTAAGTTTTTATTAAGTTCTTACCTACGTAAAAGATAAGCATCAAAGTATCTCTGATTTTGATAAACCATTTAAGTGAATTCCAACGTTCTGGTAGAGTTTTGATTTGAAATACAAACAGGAAAATACAGGAGATTGGTACAGCCAGACAACCAATAACTGTCTTGATAATAGGTTCCTAAATGAGTTAGACTTATTATTTTAAAAAAAACTTTAATTTCAAAGAAGCGATTACCACATCTATAACCGCCTGTAAAGTGTACAGAATTACAATAACCAAGATCACAGGTGTTAGGATCATTAAATCAATAATAATTTCTAAAAACTAGTAATATGTAACAAGTGATATATTTTAAAATATCTATAAGATAAACTAATAAATACCATATCGGAAAAAACCCACCAGAGGAGTAATAATGATTCATATACATTTTAGTTAAATGTTTATAGTTTTGACTTAATTTTGACTTCAAATTCCAAGCCGTCAAAACAAAAACTCTCAACGAATAAATGTATTCATCAACTGCCTACTCCTAATGAATACCATCTATAATACTGTCCAATAAATGGATACGAATTTTTGTTGTCCGGGCACTTAACACCAACTCACGACTTGGCCATTTTGGGTAATGGAAAAACTAATGCTGTTACCAGGGGCTGGAATTTGGCCAACCACATTTCCATGTTTCTCTGTTTTAGCCACAATATGAAATGATATTTTATTGGATTACTCAATCGATGGAGTACAGTTAACGAGATACATAGTTAGCTTTGGCTGCTCTGGAATGCAGACTTAATAGAGAAATCAGCCAGATTTTAAACGAATTCAGCACCTTTCGCGTTGCAATGCCATAATGCTAATTCGCATTTCGAATGCAAGCCCTCAAACATCCTTGAGAGGTTATGCAAACGCCAAGTCCAAGTCGGAGCTGCCAAATGCAAAATGTGTTTTCACTTTTGTTCGTTTATCAAACGGGTGTCGGGACAGACTGGTTTTGTGTTGGCCAGGCGCCATCGTCCGACTCCAACTGCAGTATGACCAACGGCAACAAATAGCTGACAGGAACAGCACCAGCAAAAGCAACAAATGCAACATGAGGCAGAGCCGTAGATACAACTGAACCCAGAAAAGGACCCGGGGCATATTCACGACTCGCATATTGAAAACAAAAACTGCAGCCAGAGACGATGGAGGGCTGGAGTGAAGACAGCCACACGTGATGGGGTATTTTCTGAATGTGTTTACGAGGTGGCTATATCCAGTGATGGGATAGGTACTTCATTTCATAAAATTTCATTTTCAAACACGAAATGTACCCAGAAACTTTTATGGGTACACTCAGGTTGAAGCCTTTTAACAAACTTTTAATAAAAATAACTCTTTTGTGGCTTAAATAAACTTTTAGGATTTATATTTTTAAAGTGAATAAAACAAAGCTAACTTAAAATTAAAAGAATGTAAATATGACTAATTTATTTACCTAAAATACTTGCTGACATCACTAGCAATATATTGATGTATGGATGGATATATGGAGGCATGGATATTCGGATGTGGAGCGAGTGCAGCTGCCCAAACTCGTACGCCCAGGCACCCACGGCCCACAACTCCCCCGTGTTGAGGTCCCTTGATGTGAAGCGAAGTGAAAATGAAAACAAAGTTTAACAAACCGTGGCTAACGAGCTACATTATTAAAACTTCAAAAATGCATAAATTTTGCCGGAGACGAACGGATTGGAGTGGAGCGCCACAGCATGGCATTATAATAATATAATGCATATCCTGGCCAGGCATTTGAAAGTTATTGACACCTTCTCCTTCTCTCCAGCTCGTGACGTGATCGAACTCCTGCTTGGCCACAAAAAAGGTGTTGCAACACGCCCCCCTCCCCGCTTGTCCCTCGAAACTGCACGAGGAGTGCTGCACGATCTGCTTACCCAACCCAAGTGGAAAAGAAAACGACTCACCAACGGCGAGACGGAATTCGGAATTCGAGCCGAGTTCGCGACTCGCCTGCCAAGTGATTCTGCGCATATTAGTTGGCCATTAGGCGCACACCATTGTCAGTCAAAATCGCATTAAAATTCAGGTGGTGTTAAATATTACAAGCGCCCCCTTGCCACAAAAGGGGAAAAGGTTTCGCCTTGATTTGCAGCTGCCACTCGTGGGGGCAGGTTCAGGATCGCAGCCAGTTGCAGCTGGGGAGTTATGTGAAATGTTTTGGCGACATGATATGCTAATAGTTGTGGTTTCTGAGAGACCTGCAACAATGTCTGCTGCACTTAAGTAACATGTAATTTAAGCCAAGAAACATCCATCCCCTGACGTCATAATCATGGGGCATTAGATGATTTAGCCGGGGTTGACCAGGAGAGGCATTAGCCGAGAATTATTTGCCAGAGATGGGTCTAAATCTGGAACCGGACTTAATCGGCTCCTAACTCAGCTGCCAAGCATGGTCGGCCCACATTCGCAGGCTCGAGCTGAGCTCTCCCAGAGCATAAAGTGCAATTATAGCGGTGCAGCGATGAACAGGGCCATGAAATACCAACACCCGACAGCTGTAAACAACAATTTGCCAGGCGGCCATAACCGCATCGAGCATAGCCGGCACAAAACCCAAAATGCCAATAACTCGCCAAAGAGATCCCCGTCTAAAAGTGCTTATAAAAAAGTTATTTAAAAGCCCCAATACTCCACTCCACTTCACTGCACTCCGCGCCAAGCCAAGCCAATCCGATCCAACAATGGCAAATGATGATGAGACGTCCGAGTCTGAGCCCAAGTCGTTTCAGGTTAAACGTTAAGCGTTTTGGCAGACGCGCAAAAAACTTAGAAGCCGGCAAGGAATCGAGGATGAAAACTTGAATGAAAAGAACCTCACCAGGAGGAGAGAGAGGCAAACGTAATGAGCAAATTTATGGTCAATTGATAATTTAGTGGCATTCGGTGTCATCAATTATGGGGCATCTCGATGCGGCTCGGGATGCGACTCCTTCGAGAATGAGGCATTGTTATGGCCAGCAATGTGGCGCAAATTGTGCTAAATGTATCGGCCTGCCCTACGCAACTTTCGACCCAAAACCCAGAACTCGAAAGCACACGCAGATGAATTATATTTATGTGGGCATCATCAGCGGACAAAGCCATATTTTATATAATTCCTCCGACTGTCAACCCTTGGACAAAAATTACACAGTAATGCTCTGGAAAATAATTGGCTCCATAACTGGGTCAGAAGTTCTTGTGGTCGCACACATGGAGAAATGATTTCAGAAAGATTTCATATTAAACATAAGCGTAGATAATGGTGATGAGTGTAATGATTTCTTAAATTTATTTTTAGAAAATACAAAAAACGTGACTAATGCTTTTTATTTTATTTTTTGGTCTCGCAACTATTTTGGCTTTGTTGTCTAGGCCTTCTTGCCTCGCAATTTAAGTCGCTAATTGAACGCTTTGTCTGACACTTGGAATAAATCACACAATTGCCAGCTTGCACCTTGCGAGTCAGCGTGCCCCGTACTGCTGCACGTCGCCATGTTTATGCCAATAATATGCCATAAAGTATAGAAAGGAGTCGATGGGGCACAATGGCTGTGGAGTGCACATGGAGTCCAAAAATGGCTGGCTGGAACGGCGGGTTGGCTGGTTGGCTGTTTGGCTGCCGGAGTGGAGCGGCTTCCTCTGATAAACTTTATGACATCGGAGGGAAGTGGAAGTGGAAGTGCAGCCACTTTGTCAGTGGCCATCCGATGGTGCCCCTGCTGCCCATTCCATGGCATTCACGGTCCTTTCTCCGTCCTTGGGCACGGCGCTAAAGTTTAAGCTTGGACCGAAGTTTACGCACAACTTGCACACATAATTTACGTCCCAACCCGGAGGCTCCCCTCTGCGTAATTATTGGCCAGAAGCCGGAGTTTCGAGCTGAGAAATCGGAATGGGGAATCGGGTTATATGTGAGTGCATTAGAGGCGACCACAAATTGTTTGGTTTGCTTTGGTTTAGCGCAAATTGTAGTCATAACTTCTTCTCGGGCTGCCGTCCGGCTATCGGGCTTATGATGGCTCAAATGCACCTACCTCGGTTTGTTGGCGGAAGGGAATCCGAGAAAGGTTAACTTGGTCTGAACCCCATCGCTATTACAGCGTCATTTGATCGAGTTTAGGTAATGGCAGTTTGTTAACAAGCTGCCTGCCTGGCTAAGCCCAAAATTTGTGGCTTTAAAAATAAATTAAAGCTTCAATATACCATAAAATGCCAAAATAAATGACTAAAAGTATGCCGAAGCCGAAGTTTAGCAATCAAAGTGGCATTTGCATTAACTGGCGAATATTAAATTGCAGTTAATTGCACTTGCCCAACAATGGTAAGCTGATTGTCCCTTCTCGGCAAATAAGGGATATAGTTTCTACTATGTGGCAAGTGCCACAAATCCCACATCAATCAAATAGTCCGTTGTCCTGGACAACTGCACAAAGACAATAACATTAGCTTTGGCTGGAAATCCCTTGGCTGTTGTGTGTTTGCCAGCTGCATTGGCAGTGGAGGTATATTAAACCCGGCTTAAATAACCGCTAAGTACAATGGCACACACGCAAATGATATGGCCCATTAATTGGCCAAGTCAATCAGAGACACGGTAAGGTTTCGTATTATATTGCATCAAAAACTTGAGCATTTAGAACTTGAAAGAAGTTTGCTCCACTACGGAGCAGTATGGCGGGTCTCATCGCAATGTCCTCTGTTTACCAGTCTTGAAAATGAGTTTGCATGCAACATATAATGTGGTACTACACCTCGTCCCAACTGCCACCCACCTTACCATATAGCCAGACGTAACACCTGAGTCCATGCCGGATACTTAGACTTTGCATTGGAATGGCCCGGGCCTGGACAAACTTCCGAGGAGGCAGTAGGATGGGTCCTTGGGTTTTTCTGCATTGATTTCGAATTTCCAAGGAAGTGGCGCGGAAACTTGTTAGTCCACCATCCGTTGCACTACCCAGTGTGTCGCCCGCCCATAATTTGCTTTGCATGCAGTTTCTGGAAACGAGGGAAGCGAAAACTAAAGAGAGACACGAGCCTGGCCCTGACTATTACGTTGGCAAATTGCAATGTAATTAGTTTTTACATTTCTATATAGTCGGGGAACGTATAATTGTGGAAAATGGCATTTCTAGTTAATTAATGGCCTGCCCTGGCACACTCCCCCACCACACCCTATACCCACACCCACACTGCCAATAGCCCCCGAGCTGCGCGAAAACTTTCTGCTCACATTTGTTGCCACTCGCCGTGTGCAGTCAACAGAAAACAAAAAAAAAAAAGGTGAAAAAAAGTGCAGTGGCCACGCCCTTTGGTGGCACACCGCCCACTGTCAACCTTTGGCAAACTCTGCTTGAAAATTTAATTAAAATGTTGGTATTTTTGTGCAAAAATCGAAGAGGTTGTGGGGTGGAGAATTGCAATGGTACCAGAATATTATTCCAATGTGTATCCTTGCAAGCTGTTGATTCAATTATACATATGTTAGATTAAAATTTTATTTCAATAAGAATTTTTATAAAGTTTCAGATTCGAAAAATGGAAGAAAGTAAATTGCAACATTGAAAAGATTTTCGATCTTACTTACTTTGAATATAACATCTCTGTAAATAACTTGAGCCTTCTGTCAGTCCAAATATTTTCGTTTCTTTTCTTATTTTTTTCTTTTTTTGTTTTCTTTCGAAAAAATCTAAATTCAAAATGTGCGAATTGAACGAGAGGATTTATTGTATTCTAGTTGCATTGATGGCGTATGTCGTGGGCATTCCGGAGTGCATATTCAAGTACTACCTGCTAGGTGATTATTTAAGTCTCTAATAATTGATAATTAATAATGAAGCTTGAAAACTCCAGCTAACAATCCACAATTCAATTTCTGGTATCTGGGTTTCCTGATCGCATGGAGCTTGATATTCATTGCAGCCATATTTTTAATTGTGGGCGTACTATTGGCAAGTGCAAGCTCTGAAGTAAACAACACCTCTTTCATTCAATTCCCATTCTAGGATAAATATAACATGGTGATGACCTGGTTAATAGTTGCCATCATTTTCGGAGTTATTGTCATCATTTTTAAAGTATGGGAACTGTTATTCGTATGGAAGGATTGGGGAATAATATTTGGTATAATATCGATTGTATTTTACGGTGGTAAGTTGCGATTTAAGAATTGGGTACGAAAAACTGATCCTGATTCTATTTTCAGCGTTAATATTTTGTTTTCTTTACTACCCATATCTTTACCAAAGCACTCTGGAAAGTGAAGGAATCTAATAGTCATGGTATAGCGTTCAGTTTGCACAAATGTATTATTAAAATATGTCATCATCGCAAGTAAATAAACAAAATTGTTAAAGGAATACACACTTCAGTTTCCAGTGCAATTTTATTTTGTTAAAGTTTTATTAATTTAAAAATTTGTTTTATCAGGATTTAGAGCTTGGGATACCTATGAATGGAATAAGTATATACGTAAGTTTTGAAGGAATTGATATCATAACATTTGAAATCATTTGTTGATTGTGGGTGGTAGTACTAAAATCACAATAATTATTTTAATTATACCAATAATGAAAAAAAAATACCCTGAAAAGTATCTAGCCCTCTTCTAATTTTATGTCACTCCGCCATTTAAAATTTAAATTGTTAGTCCAAATTTTTTGTCAAAATGGGGGCAAGACCTTTTTGTATTTTTATGGGGGGCGTGATCTGCGCCTTTACATTAATGGGTCTTATAGTAGATGGTCTGATACTGAAGAGTGAAGGAACCAACAAATTAGTTTATGTCCATATGGGAGCATTGCTCCTACTTATTTTAGCAGCAAGTATTCTCATTATTGGCGCTATTTTGGCAAGTGAGTTTGTTTGGTATAATAATAAATAAAAAACTTGTAAATTTTTTTAGAAGGAGAAACATTTGTTGTACATCTTTATTGTTCTGTCTGCCATGGTTATATTCATTCTAGTAGTTTTTTTCTCCATGAAATTATTCATTGCCTGGGACAAACTAACTAATTTGTCAAGAGTACATAGTATCATTTCAAGTTTATTTAAAATTCGTAAGTCTATTGAATTAATAAAACAAAAACCATTTTTAAGCAATTTTTTTCAATCTTAATCATTTGTCTTTCAGTGATAATGAGTTTGTGGACTTACTACCCATACGTGTACATCAAAGAACTCAACAGGGAACCCCCAAATGAACCCCTAAATATCTAGTTCTCCCTTTATTCATAGTCAGTCTCAGAAACTGATGAAATTATTATTGTTATTTTTTTTGCAAGATGGGATGTCCAGTCTTTAGTCTGAAATATGTTTGCTTAGGCATCACAGTAAGGTCTTTGTCTTAGGGTCCGTTTCGTTGGTATTGTAATAAAGTATATTTTTCAAAATAATATAGATAATATGGATCAAAAATTGTAATGAAGAATCATTCCAGAAATCTTTTAAGGTATTCCTCTCAAGGATCGGATGCAAATTGGCCAAGATATGGACTTGGCTTGGGGCCAAAATGGAAATTTCGAATTTTGCAAGGGGTTCCATCAGAAAAATTTGAAAAATCGGGATAAAAAATTTTGTTTTGAGGTTTTGATGCAGATTGAAGCAGAATCCAACTACAAATCGTTTAAGGTACTCCTCTCAAGGATCGGATGAAAATTGGCCAAGATATAGACTTGGCTTGGGGCCAAAATGGAAATTCCGAATTTTGCAAGGGGTTCCATCAGAAAAATTTGAAAAATCGGGATCACAAATTTAGTTTTGAGGTTTTGATGCAGATTGAAGCAGAATCCAACTACAAATCGTTTAAGGTACTCCTCTCAAGGATCGGATGCAAATTGGCCAAGATATGGACTTGGCTTGGGGCCAAAATGGAAATTCCGAATTTTGCAAGGGGTTCCATCAGAAAAATTTAAAAAAATCGGGATCAAAAATTTAGTTTTGAGGTTTTGATGCAGATTGAAGCAGAATCCAACTACAAATCGTTTAAGGTACTCCTCTCAAGGATCGGATGAAAATTGGCCAAGATATGGACTTGGTTTGGGGCCAAAATGGAGATCCCGGATTTTGCAAGGGGTTCCATCAGAAAAATTTGAGAAATCGGGATCGAAAATTTTGTTTTGAGGTTTTGATGCAGATTGAAGCAGAATCCAACTACAAATCATTTAAGGTACTCCTCTCAAGGATCGGGTGAAAATTGGCCAAGATATGGACTTGGTTTGGGGCCAAAATGGAGATCCCGGATTTTGCAAGGGGTTCCATCAGAAAAATTTGAGAAATCGGGATCGAAAATTTTGTTTTGAGGTTTTGATGCAGATTGAAGCAGAATCCAACTACAAATCATTTAAGGTACTCCTCTCAAGGATCGGGTGAAAATTGGCCAAGATATGGACTTGGTTTGGGGCCAAAATGGAAATCCCGGATTTTGCAAGGGGTTCCATCAGAAAAATTTGATAAATCTGGACGGAAAATTTTGTTTTGAGGTTTTGATGCAGATTGAAGCAGAATCCAACCACAAATCGTTTAAGGTACTCCTCTCAAGGATCGGATGAAAATTGGCCAAGATATGGACTTGGTTTGGGGCCAAAATGGAGATCCCGGATTTTGCAAGGGTTTCCATCAGAAAAATTTGAAAAATCGGGATCGAAAATTTTGTTTTGAGGTTTTGTTGCAGATTGAAGCAGAATCCAACTAAAAATCATTAAGGTACTCCTCTCAAGGATCGGATGAAAATTGGTGATGTCCAAGATATGGACATGGCTAGAGGCCATATATAAGGATCCTGGATTTTCTAAGGGGTTCTATCGGAAAAATTTGGATCAAAAATTGTGTTGCCAGGTTTTGACGCAGAATGATGGAGAATCATTCCACAAATCTTTTAAGGTTTTCCTCTCAAGGATCGGATAAAAATTGGCTTTGATATAGACATGGCTAGAGGCCATATACATATAAGGATTCTGGTACTGGAATTAAAAACGAAGGATTAGGGAGAGACCTGGACTAGGCGCCCATGTTTGAAAAGCTTCCATCGAAATCGAAATAAATTTAATGTCTGCGACGGCAGTTGATTTTGATTCCTTTCCGGTTTTAAATTTTGAATAGCTGCGACAAAGGAAGCAAATGCCAAACAAATAGCAGCCAGTGACCGGCGATAAAAATTTGCATAAAATAACAGAAACAATAACAATGGGGGACAACAAATCAAATGCGAGTGACCCGGCCTCGCCCTGTAAGCCAACCGTAAATAGAAAGTGAAAATCAAATACAAAACGGTAGCGTTTATTTTCTGCTTTCGTATTTTGGCAGTTTCTGGACCGTTGTCAGTGTTTCCGTGGCTCTTATGTTTATTTTGGTCGAGCGCCTAATTTAAATAAACATTTATTTGTACAAAGGCTTTAATACGCTTGGCAAATGACTTCCTGAATTGTGTGCAGACAAAGCGGCCAAATTGCATAATCAGTGAGACAAATGCATCGGATTATGAAATCCTTCGCTCACAGGCTTGGGCTGGCTGGCAATTGAAAATGCAACTGCAACTGCAACACGAGCAAACTGCAGCGGAGACGCCACCGATCTGGCAACAACAACCTGTCGCATATTTAAAGCGATTAACGGCACGATTTTTAGTTGCTGCCTGCCAGCAACAGAAACTCAGAAGCAGCAACTGCAACAAAAGCGGCAACACGGTGCCAAAGTTTCACTGTGGAAATTGAAATGCTTTTGGCAGTGCCAACACTCTCTGGCATGTTTTTTGGCCAAATGTGTTTTTCCCTCAACCAAGGGTAGTAACGACTAATCAAAGATTTGGATGAGATCTTCGAAAGAATATTTAAAAACCCAAACTATTTATATCACTACTTTAGACTCTAAAATCGTAACCATTTAGATGAGACTTTTAAGAGTGCATTGGTAAGAAATTGTGTTGCATATTCATAATTTTGGTTTCTAACTCTGCTCTCTATATTTTCTGAATTTTTAGGGGCAATTCGTGTCCCGAAACGATTGTAAATACTTTCAAAGCATTTCCAGCAATGGAACAAATACAAAATAGTTCGCGCAACCGTTGAAATTGGAAAATTGTGAAAAATAAAATATTATATTGTGCACAATACTTGCATACTTGGGCATAAGCCATTGTTGATTTTTTCCATTTTCCATTTTTTATTTGCCTTTTTGCTTTTTTCTATTTGTTTTTTTGTTCAGTTTTGCGGCTGGGCTGAGCTGAGCTGTGAATTTCCCCACAAGTCTCCGGCCATGAATGACCTATAAATAAAGTTGGCAGCCAAACAACTGGGCCCAGAAATGGCAAACAGCGTGAATTGTGCAATAAAGGAGTATAATATGAATATAACAACCACAAGAGCCAGATTTTCAATTGGCTTTTCTCTTCCCTTTTGCATTTTCAGCCAATTCCTATTTTCCTGCTCGGCCAACTTATTGACTCTTGACCTTACAAGATTTTCAGGGCGGCACCAATTTGTAAATGGCTTGTAAGCTGAACAGCGACCTGAATACAAACGGGCCATAAGAAACTTTAAGCATCCGCATTTTACCTGGTCCAGATTAGAGATTTGCTTCCATCCATCCTAGTTGCTCTGCTTTAAGCCAAACTTTTCAGTCTCTGGCTGCAAAACAATCCGGTAGCAACCGCAAAAATTCTGTACAAAAAGGCTCCGTACTGTGCTTGTGAAACTATAACCTCCACGCTCTCAGCCAGCATAATACTTGAGTACTTTTGATAAAGCAAGAAATTCCTGATGCCCTCATATTCCCTTTGCCCGCTCGGTGGCCCGGGGCACTGGAGTTTGTCTAAATGGCAGAAGCTTTTATCAGCTCAGATTACACACTTTAAGGCAACAAAATTGTCACTTTAAATGCAGTAGAAGAACTGAATAAGCTGGATGGAAGCGGGAGGGAGGTGGTGCAGAGTCAAGTGGATGGACACCTGAGAGCGAGTGGAACCACCGGGCGGATAACTGCTGTGGTTGCTACACCGCAACATTGTTGGATGAAACCACCGTAACCCAAGCCATGGCAGCAGGTCACCCATCTGCCAGCTCTACCAGCGCCACTCCTTCTACCCCCGTTCCATTCTGCCAGCTTTCTGCCGTCCACCCACCGAGCGTAAGCTAACTCAACTTAAATAAATTTAATTTAATTACCAGTAAAAACCGCATGAGTAACTTCAGTCCTAGATGAGAGCAGAGCAGACTGTCGGGCTTAGGATAACATTATTCTGCAGTGGGAAAAATATAACAAAATAATAAAATTTAACAAGCAATTTTAAAGTATCAGTCTAAAAATTAAATTAAAATTTATTTGGA